TCTGAGAGTTATTTCCCTGTGCATTATGAACGCGCATCTAACCCACGGGATCCCGCCGCCCGGCACGTTCATGTTACGTGTCCCGACCAATCAGAGCACACTGTGCTCACAGGGAGGGTGGGAGCTGGAGCTATTGGTGCTACAACGAGCCGTTAAAGGCAGAGAGTGAAATTCAGTGAATACACGTAGTTTACAGAGATGCTGTATGAGAAACCAATGTGAGTTTGGAAAATTGCACAATATAAATCTATTCTAGTAGACCTCAACAATGGAATTATGATCAGTGGAAATGGCCATGACATGGGACCTTTAACTGCCTGGTAAAATTATTAAACATTTGTCCTTATTTGTCTGCCCTTTGACAATTATTCACACACCCAACATGCATTCTTCCTAAGTTGTTGTTGCCTTAACAACTACTGGCATCTGTTCTCAACATAAATATCTTACAGTTAGCATCTCAGTTGAAGATAACAAGCTAGAATATTGCATCTGAGAGGTGTCGATTTCTTGGCAAGTTATCGAGTGCAGCCAGAACATAAGTGGCAGGAGAACGCTGTGGCCAAGTCGCTAAAGAGAACAGAGGAACCACAACTTGAATGACACTTCATCAGCCACAGTATTATGTCCTGTCAAAGAGCATCTTCTCCAAGATGATGAGAACTTTCCTGCTCACATTTTGAAATCCAAGAGGCCGTGTGTGATGCAGTGAAGCTAAAATACTTCACGACAGACACCAGTTGTGAGTGTTAAAGTAGCTTTTAATTGCTGATAATCATTAAGAGCAGATTCTTGGCACGAGGGGAGAAGGAGAGGGAGGTAGAAAGACGATGGGAGAGAGGGGAGCAGCATGAGGAGCGAAGATAAGGAGAGGAGAGAGGAGTAAGGATGTAGGAGATAAAGAGAGGAAAGAGAGAGAAGTGATGGAGTTAAGGAGACAGAGAAGCAAAATGGTGTGTCAGAGATGGACACAGAGATGAATAGTGACAAGAGGGGCTCCAAAGCTCCGTCTGCTTTATCAATGACTGTGTGAATGACAGCATAACCTTCTGTGTGTGTGTGTGTGTGTGTGTGTGTGTGTGTGTGTGTGTGTGTGTGTGTGTGTGTGTGTGTGTGTGTGTGTGTTTTAGCTGATTGAGACCGACTTTGACAGAAGGGCACATTGACATTTCTCAGAGGACCCTCACGACAACAACAAGGAAAGGAAGGAGACACAAAAACAAATGAAAGCTTGCTCTCTCTCTCTCTCTCTCTCTCTCTCTCTCTCTCTCTAACACACACACACACACAGTGTGTTGGGCAGGTCTGGTTGGCTCTAACATGATTACAGAGGGATGATTCTCCTCAATAACTCTTAGCCCGGAGAGCTAAACCTGGATCAATCTAACCTCCTTCCTGTGTGTGTGTGTGTGTGTGTGTGTGTGTGTGTGTGTGTGTGTGTGTGTGTGTGTGTGTGTGAGTGTGTGAGTGTGTGTATCTTGCTTCAGGCCAGCTGTTCGTCATGAGGAGTTCAGGAGGAAACAGCAGTTTTGGAGCCATGACAACACACCAAATGCCAGATATGAAAAAAAAACTATTTCTTCCCAACGTGGTTTGCTAAATGGATACATTTAGATATAAAAACAATTAGTGTATAAGTCATGGTCGATAGTTCATCATAAATCAAAGCATCAAGAACTTTGAACAATTAATAGTTTTTTCCATTATACGTGATTTTTTTATTTCTTTTTAACTAAATCATATAATTATTAACTTAATATTTGCAATTTCAAAAACCTCTCATTGGTATCTTTTTTGTGTTGCTTTTACAGAATGATGGGTGGCATAAGAGGAGCTTTTCACTAATTGTATCACTCTTATCATTCAATATTTATAATAAAACACATTGTTGTAATGTATAGTTGCTTCTTCATTGACATACTCTGGTCCTGTGCAGCTCTCGTTATCTGTGCATCTCTTTCTCATTTGTTGTCTCAGTATATCCCTTCCGCTCATCCTGGTCCATCTCCTCATCTCTAAATCTCTACTTCCTCTCTCTGACTCATTCCTGCTCGGCTCATCTTTGATAAACTGACAAAATAGCACATAACACAACATGTACAAATTATTTGTAGATTAATTCTCCATCTGCTTCTGGCCTCTTTAAGGCATCCCTCTCCTTGCGTTCAATGTGTGTGTGTGTGTGTGTGTGTGTGTGTGCGTGCGTGCGTGCGTGTGTGTGAGAGAGAGATATATTCACTGTAATACTTCCCAGAGATCAATAAGCTGTTCCTTTATCACTGCGGCGACGTCTTCTATGGCTTTCAAGACAATTTGCCACCATAACAACAATCATTCATCACCTTGCCAAAGACTAGAATTCCCCCGATTCCCTCTTCCAAGAACGTAACTATTGCTCAAATAGCAGTTTGTATTTTCAGAAGCTTTAGTTTGGATGTTAATAATTGTAGTTATGTATACACATTTTTGTATGTTTGGAGGATAAAATCAAAGTTGTTCTCCTGTTGGTTATAAACTCTGCAGTATTTGCTCGTACGGAATAATATTAGAGATTATAATATCCGCTTGTAGCTTTGGGAGTGAGTTGATTATTTTCACAAATCTGTCCAGGATCATAAAAATAACGCACAGCCTCATTCTTTGCTGCAGAGCCCTTTCTTCACACACACACACACACACACACACACACACACACACACACACACACACACACACACACACACACACACACACACACACACACACACACACACACACACACACACACACACACACACACACACACACACACACACACACACACACACACACACACACACACACACACACACACACACACACACACACACACGGATCAATACATGGCCTCCGTGGATGCCTGGTGTAATATCAGCTCTTTACTGTCTGCTGGGTTATTGTGCTCTAACTCATCCTCCCTCCTCTTCTCTATGCATTACACTCGCTCTCTCCATCGATGCTTTGTGCTTCTCGGCACATCTCTGCTACCTCCTCCCATCATCTATCTTTTTATCTATCTGCTTTCCACTTCCTGTCTCCATCTCATTGCCTTCCGCCTCTCCATCCCTGTGCGTTTTGAGGAAGGGAAATGGAGGGCACAGCATGGGCGAACGATGACGGAAAGTGGAAGTAGGAAAAGGACGGAAAGGTGAAGGAGGAATAGTGGGTGTGATGAAGATCTAGGGGGTAATGAGAGAGAGATGGAGGGAGAAACTGAGGAGAGTGGGGGCAGAAAGAGGGAGAGAAGAGAGGAGGAGGGGGTCTGTAGTATGTCTCCTCTCTCTGTAATCGTGTTAACTGGCGGCTCCAAGCCTGGCCTCCTCAGCTGTCACACGCACAAACACACACACACATGCACACAGCACCTGTGTATGCCTGACAGACAGCTCATTCATCACAATTAACCAATTACAGCCTCCGCCGGTCTGTCTGAGCCCGCCTACTGTGGGAAGGAAGGGAGAGGGAGGAAAACGAGGGGAGTGCAAAACAGAAACATGGGAGACAGAAAAGATAGAAAGGAAAACAAAAAGGCGTGGAAGCATCTTTATAATACTTTGAGTTGTGTGTGTGTGTGTGTGTGTGTGTGTGTGTGTGTGTGTGTGTGTGTGTGTGTGTGTGTGTGTGTTTACCTGAGGCCACAGTATTGATGGCCCCCTCCTGTCCGATGATGTACTCCTTCAGCCTCCTCTCCAGGGGGAACCTCCGCCTCTCCGCCGCCTCGCGCCGAGCCTGCACCTCCTGGAACTGCACGGAGACAAGAAGACGGACATTGGGAAAACAGATGAGACACTCGATGAAGAAAAGGAAAGGGAGACATGTAAGGAAATTCACTAAAGGGAGAAAACACGAGGACATTCAAGTGTTTTGGAGGATGTCCCTCTTCACTCTGTTTATCACCATCTTGTCCTTTTTGCCACGACAGTTTCCACTGCAAAGGACGCATAAACAAGAACATCTGAATGCTGCAAAGCTATCACTGAAAACATCTCATTTAGAAACCCTTCTTAATGCAACGGTTAAGCCGTTTCTCCCTTTTCCTAATCACAGTGCCTTCGTTTCTCTCAAACAAATGCCCTCTTTTCTGCTGATTTGATCTCTTTCTACCTCTCCTGCTCTGCTCAGATCTTCCCTTTACTTTCCCGTAAACTCCCCCCTCAGTATCTGTCTTGAAGCCCCCTGACTCATTCATCCTCTCCTCTTTGTGTCCTCAGACTCCAGGTTTGCACCCTGCAGTGGAGGCAGGCTGTTTATTCTCTCGCTCCATCTTGCTTAGCTCTGGCCTGCTGTCACGCTGCTAGATAACTTCGGGCAACTCCAGTTTTATTTAAGAAAAACAGCTGACCCCACCTCTGCTGCGATACACCTGTAAAATACTAAGAGCTGAGCTGAGAGGAGTCCCTGCAGTCAGCTGATTCTAAAGAATAGTTTAGTTTAAACCTTAAGCCTGAAGATCACACTCAATTACAATTTAGAGCTTTTTTTTTTAACAGTTTTCTCAAGTGTATTGGTAAAGCATTGAGGATGTTACTGCCATAATATGTGCAATCAGATCTCCATCCATCTCAGGTTATTTTATTAATATATTTATGACCAGATATTTTGAGATCAATAACTATTTTGGATACAAATTTAGACACTAGAAGATATATTACAAATGCAGCTTGTATGTGCGTCGAATTCCAGGTTATGTATCAGTACTTATATAGAGTTGATTTATAATCTCACTTCACTGCTTAGTCTATGTTTTTAACCTCAGTTAACCTTTACCAGCTTTCACAAATGTGATCCTCAATAGCACCTGCCACTCAGTCAGCGCAGTGACACAGACCTCCTGAGGAGTGTGCATCTGTGTGCAAGTAAATGACCCAGATGTCTTCTGGGTGAATAGTGCCGAGTCATTCAGGGACAGGAAACAAGTACAGTATCAAAACATTGGTGTGCATGGAAACTAATGTTGTTTTAATTGCTTTCTGCACAGATTGTACGGAAGAACAAAATGAAGAGTTTGTGTGCGTACGAGTGTGTCATACCTTCCCCTCAAACTCCGTCAGTACTGTGCTCACTTCTCCATCCTTGGCATAGGCCCGCGCTGTGTGTCCCAAACCATTGGTCTGCAGGGGGTTGGCACCTGTATGCAAGCAAACAACACACACCGGTCATAAATGAGAACAAATAATCAAATTATTCATATCTACTCATCAAAAAGGTTCAAACTAACAGAAGGGCCTCGTTTAAAGAAAAAAGAAAAGAATAACGCCCTTACTTTTTGCCGTTACTACTATAAGACTATACACATCTCCTCAGCAGGAGGGTCAAAACGTCAATGGAGAGAGTGAGGTTAGGGGTGAGAGGTCACATGGGTTCAGGGGTCACTGAGACAGATTTATGCAGTGAAGCAGGAGGGCGATGCAATGACACTGCAGGGGGCTTCATATCTGCAACGCGTGCCTTTAACACACACTTTGACCCCGACATCCGCACACCTCCACCCTGGGTTATTATATAATCTATATACACTGCAGGTTGTTGCAGGTGGGGGGTCATTGACTCACACGCTTTACACAGCAGGAGGGGTCAAACGGTGCAAAATGGTGTTAAACGGATCTTTAAAGCGTCGAAGTATAACAGAGGAAGAACCATGTCACAGGGGCACGTGTGAAGTGTGGTTAGCAGTGCCTTCTGCCCTGACCTGTGCCACCACTCCCAACACACACACACACACACACACACACACACACACACACACACACACACACACACACACACACACACACACACACACACACACGTGCCTTCACATGAACAAGTGACTGTTTCTATCGCATCAGCTATGCAATAACAATGAAACGAAAATCCTTAGGAAAGCAGTATTTTTGTAACAAACTGTAATGTATTACAAATGTGTATTGGAGGTCTACAGTAGATTATTGACAGCCCACACGTACCCATCTGCAATCCTGTGACTTTAACGCTTTTCTGGTAGCAACCAAAATAGCATCAGCTATCAATGTTTTTTAAAAGTCACACTCAAAGAAACTCAACTAGTGTGAGGCCTTAGAATAACACCTACTGTGGATCCAGTTTGTCTTATATGGTATACATTTGATTTGGCTTGTTGTGGTTGCAGTTGACTGGTTTGTAGGCATTGTTGGATATTGGAAAGAGTGTGATTTTTGTGAGCGTTTTGTGAAGTTGCCAGACCGAAAGTCAATTTAACATTCGGTATCCCCCGGTTGCTATGTGCTCCTGCGGCTCATTTTCTTTCTTTCTTTTTTTCTCTTCTTGTTCTGACAATAGCGGGCCATAACTTCCTGTAATTGGTCCAAAAGTCTGACCCATCCAAAAACGAAATGATTGTTATATGGTGCATTGAGAATCAGATGAGGCACCTGGGGCTCCACAGCTACCTTTAGGTAAACTGTAACAGTGTATGTGATCATTGCAGATGCCAGTTGTTCTGAGCACCGACCGCAAAGATAATCACTGTGATGATTATCGATAAACGCCTAAAATGTGTTACCTGCTCACAAAGCTATCGATCCCGCAAACAATACACCACTAGCCCCCCGCCCCCTAACAAAAACAAGAGGGAGGAAAGCAATAAAATACACACACACACACTCACTGGACATAATAAATAGCATCATTTAGGGCTTTAATATCAGGCCACCCCTCTGGGCCATGGCACTTTATAACAGGATCAACACTAATGACACTCACCCAAACGGACACACACACCAGCTGAACACACACACACACACACACACACACACACACACACACACACACACACACACACACACACACACACACACACACACACACACACACACACACACACACACACCCTTGCATACACAGGATCCCTTCATTAGGAGTGCTTTAGTTATGCCTATTAGGAGTCCCCTCCTCTTTCCTATTTCCTCCTCCCTCTCTTTCACTGCAGCTGGTGGGAGAGAGCCCCTGCTGGTCTTTGTGTGTGTGTGTGTGTGTGTGTGTGTGTGTGTGTGTGTGTGTGTGTCTTTATATCGGTATTGTGTGTGTCTGTGAGCCTGTGTGTCTCCTCTGGCCTCCTACCACCTACAGAGCCGTCCATTACTGAGTGCCTGTGGCCACGGGCCTGATGCGGGGCCTGCAGAGAGTCTAGAGACCCTCGGCAGGTAGGGCGAGGGACTGTGGGGCGAGGAGGGGCCCGAGGGGCGACCTGGAGACTGTGATGGATGGAGATGTGAGTCGAGGGCCGGCTAAGGCCAAAAGAGCAAACCCAGGGCTGGTGGAGTAACATGGTCGCATGCAAGCACAAGGGAAATAACAAGATAAAGGATACACACCACTCCATACAGACACACACATTTTGCACATACATGAAGCCACAATGAGACACACCGTAATCCACATAATGTCCTGAAGCTATGGCAGTTTATACGATTTTTTGTTATGATGTTTAACAAGATTGATAGGGGGCCTCAAAGAGGAGTGAATTTAAGATAAAAGACCATACAAATTCAGTTTTGTCAAGAATAGTCCAATACATTAAAAACTTGTATTAAAGTCTATTATTATGCACCCAATCACACAGAATCACACATGGACAGCGATGCGTTGGTGATGTCATGATTGTTATTCCCCGTGATGGTGGCGCCAAACAGGCAAAAAACCCAGCCTGGCGAACAAAAGCCCGCCCTGTCTTTAATCAGATTGGCTTAAAACAAATGCCTCTGCTTTGTGAAATTTCTTACCTTTTTAATTCAAAAATGCGTCTGCAGAACATTTGATCGAATTAGGCGAAGTGATTTGTTTAAGCGTACGGAGTGCTTACTGACGCAGGGGTGAGACGGGCAGACAGAGCCTTTGGATGCACCATCCATCATAAACATAAACAAGACATTAATACTGTGTGTGTGTGTGTGTGTGTGTGTGTGTGTGTGTGTGTGTGTGTGTGTGTGTGTGTGTGTGTGTGTGTGTTTGTCTGCGTAGTAATGGTGGTTGGGATGTTTGATCCAAAAAAAATTGAAAAATGCTTTTAGATTAAAAAGATATCAGCCTAACAACCTAAAACTACAAATGCATCCCCAATTTATGATTCAAAAACATATCAAAAGGATAAAAGCATACATGAATATATGAATATTTTAATAAATAAGATGGACACTTGAGTGCACAAGCACACATATGAACTCACTGAAGACATATACACACTCACAAAGACACACACACACACACATCCTGTGATTGTGGAGTTACCCCAAGGGCATGTTCTGAGCGCAGGTCACAGTTCAACTAGGCCTGGCTTGTTTAAGAGCTGCTCGCCTGGAAACTGAGGGGGATACTCTGCCCTGAGGGTGTAACAGTGTGTGTGTGTGTGTGTGTGTGTGTGTGTGTGTGTGTGTGTGTGTGTGTGTGTGTGTGTGTGTGTGTGTGTGTGTGTGTGTGTGTGTGGAGCTGAGTCAACGACAGGTGCGAGTGTAATGGGGGGTGAATGGAGAGGGGGTATGAACGAGTGATCAATTTCAAATGAGCTTTGTAATACTGTTTATATTACTCGGGGGTGGAAGCGTTAAGATGATGATACATGGAACGCTTTTTAAAGCTGAAGGAGACGATACTGCCTACAGCTCTTAAGGGCAGATGAAAACCATTTACTTTGTATAGAAAAGATCAAGGTAAGGAGTATGGCATGTGTCGTGATAAAACAGGTGCCCTTGAATTAGTCATTTGTTTCCTTCAATTAATAAATTGCCCCGAAAAATAAGTAATTCTTGGACATTGATTCAAAATATAGGAACAATGTTATCCCTTAAAAGCGGTTAAGAAGACAGAAACCAGTGTAAAGGCCAACATCTAAATAAAACCATATGAAAAGCAAGAGGCCTTAATGAGGACTGAGGACGGGAACAAAATAGTTTTTATACAAAAGCACACATCTAGGCAATATATACTAGGGGCTGGACAGATGCATGTTTTAAATGTTTGCACACTAGATAAAATACAGGAATCAAACTGAATGAGTAACATGAATCAGAGACAGAGTCAAGAACACTTTTATAACTCGGCAATAGATTTTCACTATTTTGGTTTTGTTCAATATTAGAGAAGCACTTCATACCAACATGAGGTGAAACTGCAGATGATGTGTTCCTAAGATATATCCAAACCCACAGAGGTCATCCATTGACTCTAAAGTTGGGTGAGTGATGGGTCGGTAAGGTTTTACGTACCAGACTCCAGCAGCATGCGGACGGTGCGGGGGTCATCTGTCAGCGTGGCGTAGTGAAGCGCTGTGCAGCCACGGAAACCCGCCCTGCTGCTGAGCCTGCTGCTGAACTCATCCTCTCTGGACACCAGAACTGTGGAGACAGACAGAGAACGATACATGAAGGAGACGCAAGAAATATACGAAGAAAAGACACTGGTTGACAAATTAAAGACACACAAAAAGCCTGCTAGGAACATCTGTAGGTTTGCTTTGAACTACATTTCAAGCACGTTGAGTTGGGTTCAAAAAATGCATTTGAATCTCAAAGATGGAAATAGAATAGGCACAACTCCCATATGAGATGCAACCAGGAAACTTTGTGGAGCTGGAGACATTAGTATGATGAATTTACTAACAACCTTAACTGGAAATTCTTTAGCCCTTAAATCTGCAATAACCTTCTTTAATCCATTCACAGTCAATGGTGATTGGTGATGCTCCAGAAAGTGTGTCAGTGATAACACCGCAGCACACACAATTGTCTTTCCTGTTTCCAGCTTTGCAGGAGTTGTTCATTTTCACAGATTTAAGCTCAGCTGTCCGACATGATAGGAATAATGTGAGTTGTGTTTTAGGGTCTCGTTTGCTGCGCTCCTTACAAATAATAGAGATAGTCTATCATTCTCTCCTTACTTCTCTTTTTCATAAGAGCACTCGTCTCGTGCCACTACTCCATCATCCATTCTTATTTTTTCCGCCTTCTTCCTCATCAATTCCTTTCATCACTCGCACCCTCTTCCTCCCTTCTATCCCAATAACTTTGTCTCATCCATTTCCTGACTTCCTCGCCTCTCCCTTCCTCTTCATGCCACCCATTTCCTTCAATCCCTCCCTCCCTCTATCAACCCTTCTAACAGCCACATCTTCCTCCTTCTCCTCCATCTTCAAGCTCGTCTCCAGCTGCTCCCTACCATCTTCCCTCACCCTCTTTCCCCTGCCTTCCCTCCTTTCTTTTTTCCTTCCTTCATCAGTCTTTCCCTTCCTCCATCCATCCCACTCCTTTTCTCCATCTCCACGACGGTCTCTCTCTGCAGTGTCTCTGCATGTGTGTGTGTGAGAGAGAGACAGGGCGGGATAATCATAGCTAACCCAATAAAGCGTCGCACAGGCCCCCCTAGCCCATCCATCAGCCTGCGTCTGGGAAACGCTTCCCCACGCTACGCCGGCCCCACGTGGACCCAAACCTGACAGCCATATAAATGTCTGCAATATACATATCCCATATAAATATGTCTGCAGAAACCCAACACAGACTGGAAAACCCTGGTGGGGGGGGGGGGGTATAGTGTGTGTGTGCTATCGCCCTGTGTGTGGAGGAAAAACAAATAAAACACACAGCTACTTGTCACAGAACATATCAAATAAATAATACAGAAGAAATGAAGCATGTACATATATGCAAATGTGTATGCAAATTATAATGTCTCATAATATCTAGTTCAACACTTTGGGATTCATATCTGTAATATAGCAACCACACACACACGTGATGGATGCGCAGAGGTGAAATGTGTGGTTTTTTTTTACCTTCCAGTGAGTGGATGCCTTTCTCCCTCGAGGTGTCGTAAACGTTGTTGAAATCATCTCCTGCGTTTGGGTCGGCACCGGCTGCGAGCAGAACCTTCACCACACTAAAACACACAACAAAGACACACATTTAAACCGAGTACTTATCCTGCCTACATCGTGTGTCATATATCTCTGCACACATGAACACAGACCAAGCCCTTCCTCAGTAATGACCCTGCCTTTACAGCAAAGATGTAATCAGGTCTCTGGGACGGCAATATGGATAGATGCTTCTATCCCAAAATATGTACATTTATACTGTTTTATCTACAATTGATATAGCACATGTTCTGGGAATCCTATTAAGAAAACAGTTTATAGATGAAGTATCAGAGGGTCTCCCGTTTTTTGGTGACTCTAGTGAATTAAAAACAAATGAAAGTTATTCATCACATTTATGCAAAAATATTGTAAATCCAATATTGTCGTAAAACAACTTTCTCATTTACAGTAGTGCCCTCAGTGGCCTCATACAACCAAACATATGAAAGGGATAGCTACCTTAGTGTAATCATCTCACAGTTTGTATTCTATAATTCCCCAACTCTGTTCAAATCTTACTTTTTCTTAGTTTAGGTAACAGGAAGTAGAAGGCAGACTGGATTGAGGACTTGTAGGAGACTTGTTTCACCAAAGTCACCAAACATAACCTCGACTTTTTAGCAAAGTTTCTCACACACTCACAGCTCGAAAAGAAACACGCAGATGCAAATAATTCCTCAATTGACCGCGACTCTTCCACCTGATTGACTTCCATTTCTACTCCGTCCCGTTATGGTGGATACACCCCAATGGCCGCTCCCCTCATTCACTTCTAGTCGTCTGCTTTGTAACATGTACATATGTGTACATTGAAGGGGGCAAGGGTCGGGCCTGTTTCCGGCGCCTTTTTGGGGGGAGCTGTGTGTTTTTATGTAGCACTTCATTGGAGCGTACCGCCTTATAGAACAAACACGAGAACCTCGGCAACACCACTCACTGTGACCCAACGGACATTCCAGGTACCGTCTCTCCGCCTACAGAGCACACTCCCACACACACACACACACACGCTTTACATTTACCACCATGAACGTGTGCAATGGCTTTGACATTGAGACACAGAATACACACAAAAAACTAGTCCGCTAGTCTGCGCCCAATGAGGGCGGGAGCGGGGGCGATGGCCGAAACATGAACCCTGCCAGTTCGCTGCTGGCTGCCATTAAACCTGTGACTGTGTAATGCAGCCTGGGAGGGAGTGATGGATCATTTTCAGATAAATGGTTATGGCAGGAGGCCTGAGAGGGTTTAAATGGAGCAAAATGATTATTCATAGGAGGATGAGATGGACCTCTTTTTTTAGAGCAACTACACTTGAGCAAGAAACCAGATACAGCTCTCGTTTAGTAGAAGCTCTGCTGTTAAAAGATGAGTATTGACAAGAGATATGACCTCAGGAATTATGGAGAGGCTTGGTGCATCAACTCTGATATTACACAGTCAATTTAAAGGTGAGGTGTGAAATTAGAGCAATTGTATTATAAAGTAATGGTTCTAAAAGAAAAATACATCTGGATATTTTTATGCAAAATGTATTAATAACATCAAACAATTGACAATAACAGAAGCAGTTAAGTATTTTAAGTATGCATCAGTTATTAGGTTATTGGAATTAGGTTAGCAACTATTTTTTTCACTAAAGACATATCTGCAATTTTTAAGATTCTTAAAAAGTAATAAGAATTATTTAGCAGAAACTGTGAAAAATTGCCAAATGTTATTTCCAGGAGCCTGAGGTGTATTCAAATATACTCTATCATTCGACTTACAGTCTACACCCAAAGATACTTAGTCTACTTAAATGATAATATCAAGATATGGTCAAAAAAGCAAGACACAGGTTTGAGAAACTGGAACCAGTACTTTTCTGGCATTTGTGCTGAAAAAACAACTGGAATGTCAATGGATAATCAAAATAGTCAATGAAATGAAAATAATGTGTCAAATAACAGTACAAGCCCTAAATAGAAGGTTAGAAAAATAAGAAAATGTTCTTTGGGGTACCAGTACAGGCTCAAAAACCAAAGTACAGTGTGCCGTACGAACAAATGATTCCAGTATATCAGTCAAACAAATCACAGACAGAATTATATATAATTGCCGCCCATCTTGCTGCTGGTTTAGTAACTACATGTTCCTGTGGGAGCGGAGAGCTGAGAACAGGCCGGCCAGGTCTTTGTGTCTGACCTTGCTGAGGGGGTATAAAGGACTATCGGGGGGTCCCCTTTTGTTACTGTATCACTGTGGCTGGGGGCAGCAGGGGGGCCGTGACCCACAGAGAGCTCTCCTCTCACCCTTTGCAAGCACTTCTACAAACACCTCGATGCATCCTGCGAGACACATACACACAAACCCAAACTAAGGTTGGTCACACGAGGCTGGGCAGGACTGTGTGAGGGAATGAGACAGTCTGAAAAGAGTTCATGGCATCAGAAAGGTAAACAAAGAGGGATAAAGAGAGGAAAACTGCGGAGAGGAGGAGGACTGGATGAAAGGAGGGACGTGCAGTTAAAAAGATGAAAGAAGGAGATTTAATTATACAGGAAAGTGCTAAAACTAATGAGCTTTTGAAAACAGTTGATGGTTTAACTAATCAACTGATGATCAAGTGGCTAACTTTATTTGGGACCTTCAGGAGGAGAGCTGCAGCACTCATTTAAGGCCAAACTGAAGGCATGCAGGGGTTAATTAGGTTACACACCTCGCCTATTTAAAAAGGAGTGGGCCGAAAGTTACATTTACAAACTTCTAAAACATCCGTAAATTACAGCATTTTACATTTTTAGCTAGACTGAAACATAAAAGTGTCAAATAAATAAGGATCTAGCTGCTGACTTAACAACCGTGTCCCAAAGTGTCAATTTTTTCGTTGTGTCCGTTGTCTTGACCCTCTGTGGATGTAAGCTTAACATCCTTAACTTATATGTTCCCTTCCCTCATGCTGTAAATCTTTGTTGATGTTTGTGTTTTATTTCTTTGCATTTCTTCCTTCTTTTAAGTGTAAAATCTAATTGATTGAAGTGTTACGTAAGTGTTTCAAAGCATCACCCGTGGAGTTGAGCAGGAGTCAGCGTCTTGCTTGAGAACACTTCAACAGATGCCTGAGACTTGGACACATTAATGGACGTTCCCAAGCTACCTCACCTTCCATCTCTTGTACCAAAAGCTTGAAATAATGACCGCTGCTCACTTAACAAGCAAGAGCTCCTGGTAGATTCAACCCTCCAGCGCGTGCCGAGGTTTGCCAGCAGGTGACCGGTGATACTGCCGGGGGCTGGTGTTATTTTCCCATCGTGCCCTGGAGGGAAGACAGGAAATGAGCACTTCCTTCTGTCCTGTTCTATAATAGACACCTGAGCCGAACTGACCATCCATGTCTCGGACCACCTGGCCCAGACGCTGGACCTCACTTGACCCCTTCACACCTGCACAGCTTGGGTCAGAGAGATGCCAGGAAGAGAGGCGCACTGCTCTTTTTTTATTCCAACCAAAGAACCCGATTGGTCAAAGAATTTTTTTTAAAGTGTGTCCAAGATTAATTTTGTTTCCTTCTCTGTTTCTCTTCCTGAGGATATCTCCATTTTCCATTTTTCTTTTGTCCAAATTGAGAGCTAATGGCTGGGCCTGTCAGATCTGTGATATCCGGCTATACATATAAAACTGACTTAACGTTGTGATGCTGATGACTTAAATAGCTGCAAGTTAGCTTGGTTGGATTTTCCCATGGACTGTGTCATTCCGACAAAACAAAGTCAGTATATATTGTATATAAAAGGTGCCCATTATATGTGTGAAATGCAGATCAAAACAATTACAGTTGGAATAAAAAAGCCACATGTTTTCAAAGACCGGTCTCCTTTCAAGCTTTTAGGAAACATACTTTTTTAATTGAAACCACTAAAACCGTGTAAATATTTCATGTTCAACTTTGAACAGATATTGTTCTCCTAATCATTGCATGGTTGCTACTGTATGTAGCTGTAACATCAAGGAGGAGATGCCTCAATTCCAGCATTGTATTCTTATGAATACAATTTCATTTGAATAACTTATTTGTTGAAAATGGGAGCAGTTTACACATTTTAAAAATTATAAATGTTAAATGTGGCAAAGGCTAGAATTGAGGGTAGGACATTTTGTATATTGTAATGGCCCACCTAAGGAAATGCGTACAGAGAACCAAAGTGTAGGAAACGTTGCTGTATGGCAGCTTGATCTGTCACTTAACCGGCTGCTTACCATCACAATCAGTTTGCATCGTGACCAAATGATAGGAATATTTCACTGGGTGATTTCCCCCACTTTTCAATCCAGCTAATCCCGGTCCCAAATCCATAATCCCACTCCACATCACTCTCTCTCTCTCCACCTCTAAGCTTTTCTCTTCTCTGCTTCCCAACGAGCCACTCATCCTCTCGTTCCATCATCCCTCCGCTTTCCCTCGTCCCGTCCCCCTGCCTCCCATCGAGTCACTCGGCCGACAGGTCGGAACGGTCAACAGGCGTTTCACTCGGCTGAGCGCTCATTGTGCACGTGAAAGCAGCGAGGGAGGGATGGAGGGAGAGAAAGAGACATGGAGATGGGTATTGTGTGTTAAAGAGTGCAAATAGTGGGCCAGGCCCTGCGCCTCCCAGATTTAGCCCCAGATCAAAGCTAAGCAAACACACGCCCCCCGATGTCTCACCCTTAATTCTTCCACACAGCCCTCTACTCCACCCCTGATTCTCTCTCACAGCCGCACCTCGACCCCTGAGCACCAGAGAGGATACACCGAGCTCCTCAGCTTCCACTGAAACAGCTCTGGTCAATCTTCTGTCTCTAGAAACACTGTTACCACTTCTGGTCCGGGGTAAAATAAATACGCAGTAAGAGAGGGAGGTGAAGTTATTCAACAGTCAGTTCCATACTGACAGTCTAGCTACAGGCTAGACCGCGCTCATGAGTAATGTTTGCTGTGTTTTCACTTAACGGCTGCAAATAAAGTTGTGTGTTACTGAGTAATAGGCAGTTGGCCTGTAAGATATTTGGTATAAACTCCCCTCGTCTTTGTGTGTGTTTTTCTGCGTGCATTCCCACCTGCATCCACATTTGTGTGTGTGTGTGGTTATGGGCGTGTGTGTGTTAGTGAGACATGTATGACTGATGTGTGTGAACCGATGTTCTGTCTTCCCTGCAGCAGTGACGGCTCACTGGGGGGTTAGAAGACGGGATTAAACACAGAGGAGTGTCACTGCCTCGCTGAGTTATAGCACTCATAACGCACACACACACACACACTTTATAAGGACAGTGCAGGGGCACACACAGACAGTCACAAACACACATTTGTGTCCAAAAACACATTACACATACATCAAGATGTTACGCTCAACTATCACTCAGCACTCGTCGTGTAATTATAAAGATGTAATGGAGCTCAAATATCACCAAAAAGTGAAAAAATGAAAGCACATTTTTATTTCTGTGTCTGAGAACGAGTTACAGACAATATTGTAAGTAGAAGTGAGTGCAATTAACAATTACTTTAATTAACACATCCATTTTTACCATTGATTGATTACTGTCCCAAAAGATTCTGAAAAATGTACGACAAACTAATAAAAACCCACTTTAAAATCATATAACGTATCAGATTCTAACATTTGAGGAGCTGGATCCAGACACTGTTTGGCCTTTTTCATTATTATTGACTTGATTAACCAATTCTCATAAATGAATGTTCTGTCGATCAAATAATAATTAAAGCACTTCAATAACTGTATACAAGTAAAATAATACATCAATATAAATACTGATAATAAAAAATATAAACTATGAAATCAATTCCAATGCAGAAACATAACACCTCTCTGAGGCTGAAGACTTTTCTTTTTGCTGCTGCTTTTAATTGAACTATTCACATCTAACACTGCACTGTAACTTTTATTCATGTACCCGTGTTATTCATCTTTTATTTTTTAATGTTTCTAATGTGTATTATGCTCTTAATATCTTTCATTTTTGTAAAGCACTTTGAATTGCCCTGTGTTGAAAAGTGCTATATAAATAAACTTGCCTTGTCTCTCACATTCTCATTAAGGTTTAAATGTGTCTTGCATTTCTTTCTTGTTTCCATTTCTTAAGAAGGGAGCAACTATAACCGTTATATTTAAAGAAGACTATTTCTATATTTGAGTTTCACATCGGGCTTCTCACGGGCACATTAGGCCGTTAAACAAAAAAGTGACCACACAGTCGTGATGGAAGAAAAAATAAAAGCCTGTAAATTGGATTTGGCCCGGCCTTAACCCCGGCCCCTCTCTGGGCTGTGTGTGTTCTGGGGGCCAGGAGGCTAATTTAATTTGTTGGACAGAGAGATGGGGGAACGAGGAAAGACCGTCTGTCAGTCTGAAACTCGCACTTTGCTCTTCTGAAGGCCGACTGTAACAACTAGAGCGGGACACGGATGACATATGCTCACATACTAACTCATGCAGACAGCTGCCCTTTTCCAAAACACTACATTACTGTTACATATGCTCACCAGAGAGGGCATCGCAGAACTCAGAAACACACGATTTGTTCAGAAACACACAGACCTGTGCTGGCGGTTCATGGCAGCCACCATGAGAGCGGTCCAACCGAGACGGTGGCGTTGGTTTGCATCGACCCCCTCTTTCACCAGCCTGATGGGAAAAGAAACAAAAAGTAGTTTTAATTCAACATCACTGTTAATATCAACATATAGAGAGGGCATGTTATAATAATGATGTTATTGACTTATCGTACGATAAATGAACATGACCTTGATCATTTTTGCTGACATCGACAACTCCCTTTGTGTTTACATGCGTGTTTGTGTACAAAAGAATGTCGACAACATAATCCCGGAATAAACAGCGGGGTTTTCCTACCGTTAATAGATTTGGGCCTCTTATTTATCTTTTATCTATAACTATATTTTTTACGTTCGGATTCAAATGTATGATAATTCCTAGGATTCAAATAGTCAATTACATTATTGGAAAGGGGTACTTGCATTAGCAGTATGATCATTACATCAGTGGAATTAAATAGTCTTAAACAGACATCAAATGATAATCACAATTATTTCTGGGAAAATGTTTTGTCCAACATAAGTAGTTATTATGACGACCTATAGAGGGCGTCAGAAACAAATGCCCGTATAGCAATGGTATCAAATCAATAGGAAATGAAGTGCTTTGTTCATATTTGAACACATACAGAGGTTTACTGATGGAAGAATGAGTATTTGTTCACATTTAAATAAGGAAAAGATTGAACATGTTAATGGCCATATGTTAAAACAAGAGATATGGCTTGCCAGCTGCTTGGGTTACTGTATGGAAGAGCTGCCTTGTTAGACACACCAGCATGAACCCAGCCCGATATCTTTGTCTTAATCTGACACACAAACACACACACACTTGCTCCTTGACCAGTTAATGTGTCTGTATGTTAGCCAGGTGTGTGTTGAGTTTCCTGCCGGAGGGTATGACATCAGGCACTGGAGTGGCACAATCCTTATAAAGTGTGTGTGTGTGTGTAAGTGATCCTTCTGTCGCCTTATGTGCTGAGCAGGCAGACAGTGTGTGTGTTTACAGTCAACACAGAGGCCTCAGTCTGGTCTGCACTCAGCTCTGAAGCTCTCTGGCTCCGTTTTCACTGCAGGGTCTGCGGGAAGTTTCAGGGTCTGGGTAGAGGAAAAGGCTCACCACTACAACTATATCCAATCTTTTTAGGGCAAAGTACTCTTTTAGGTTTGTTCAAACTAAGCTATTTATTTACAAAAAGGTTCATTTAAAGAAGGGGCATTGTGGGAAGTCAGAGCTTTAGTCTTTCACAAAGACGTGGCAGAATAAGATGGAGAAGCAGTGTAGATGGACTGTGCTCCGAAAGCGTTTACATCAAGAGAGACAGAGTGACACTTCAGGTATTTTTGGTGACATTTTTTGTATATTTCAAGTGTTTGACAGATGGATATGACAAACCCGCCCTTCAACCAAACTTCAACATTGTCGTGTCAATGTTGCCTTCAAAAGAGGCAGAGAAAGTGAGCAGAGTGTCCATTATTTTTGTAAATCCTGCAAGAAACCAGACCTTATGAATGGGTTTACCAAACCTAACAACATTCTTTAATGTGGGTTTACTGTGGGCTGTATGATCACAGAGACAACAAGCTGTTTCACAAGCTTGGCTGCAAGACAACTGGAGGGGAGCTATTAACTAATTTAACCTTTACATATCTTAAAATACAGAATACAAGAGCTAATACTTCCATTCCCGAAATGTCAGCATTGTAATTAACTATATGAACCCTGATTGGTGGAACCTGCTTTTAAAGCTAAAGCGTTAGTCTCACAGAAAATCCACTTCATATACACTTTCCACTGTTAAATTGCAATCTCAAGATATATATATATATATAATATTTCAGGTGTAGCACAACTGCTTTATAAGGTCAGTGTTAGAACGAGACCTCTATCGTCTCCTCATCCTCTCAGCAGACACACCCTGACACTCTACCACTTCTAGAAAACTAAACCAAAGCACTTAACACATCTGTGAGCTGCTGACTGGCCGACTGTCCGTCTGTACTCTCACCTTCACCATCTGCCACATGGCACAGGTAACCCAAGCCAGCAAATGGAGACACACATGGATAAGCACATGTATGCTGCCCTAATGTACAGTACACTGATACACCATCAGTGACACACACAAGGCAAGCACTGATTTCACACACATATTAACATGATTATTACGCAGGGCATGACTGCTCCAACCATACACCAATAGGAAGAGTGATGTTTGTCTGTATTTTATCTAACCAATTACTCTGATCCGTCAAATCGAATGAAAGAAAAAAGAAAACGTCAATACGCCAAACGTGTGACTACAGCGTGTTAGCTTCTGTCTGTTCTCACAGTTACTCAAGATGTGTAATGTAATTTAATTTGTAATATATTATCAGCAGGACAGATGGGACAAAGAAAGGCCTGACGTGGCTTTTCTCGGGTGGCTCTGGTAGACGGTCTCTGAGTGTGCAGGGGAATTGGAACAGACTCGGAGCAATGCTATTTTAATCTGCGAGTTAGAAAATATAAACAAAAGGTAAAACAAAGCAAAAGAAAAAAACCATCTCAAACGCTTGAATGAAACACAAATCAAGGCTAATTGGGGGAATTGAGTTCTGAGTGGCTAAGTGTGACATCCATCCTGCTAACAGTTGACACACACACACACACACACACACACACACACACACACACACACACACACACACACACACACACACACACACACACACAAAAAGATGGTCCTCTTCTTCCACCTGGTGGTATTTAACGGGACAGCAGAAAGTGAAACAACTGGATTTTTATGATCCTAGCTGTTGCTTCAGCAGATGACCGGTATGACAGCTATTTAAAATAAAGGCTTTCTATTATATTCTTACCAGAGCCCAATAGAGGTCAAAAGTGACAACCCAATTTGGATTCAATCAAACGTGATTTCTTTATTCAGGGGAATTGAGTTAATTGTAGTCCAGGCAGAGATTCTGCCTCAATACATTGGAATGAAGACAATATTCATACTGTATTAGTGCAGGGGATACGGTTTTCATTATTAGATACGATTGCCAAGTAAGCCATTCAATTTAGCGTACCAAACAAATATTTTTACAATTACATATAACAATAAAACTAATGTCTCGAAATCCAAGTCATATGGCGTTAGTAATATTATATCAATCACTGCTATAATGACAAATTAAAGGTAGTATATGGCTGTTGTCTGGCATGTAGAATAGTCTTTTAAAAGGCAACATTTGGCCACTTGTCATGCCATTTATTTAATGTCTACAACACAAAGTAGGCCTCCTTAAATCATGTGGTTCACAACGGAGAGCCAATAATGTGTCTCTGTGTTATGGTGCTCGATGATGCATGTGCAAGGTGTTGAAGTGTGCGTGTGCTTTTGGGGGGGGGGAGGGGTACCTGGCAACATCTTCAGAGTTATTGGTCCTCGCTGCCTCCAGAAGAGCATCACCTTGTTATGCAAACACAAAAACGGAAAAACATTACAGAAGAAGGATACAGAAAACTTGAGCACAAATATAAAACAAGGGATGACAATACTGTTTTTTAAATCAAATTCCCAATTATCTTCACATTCACACATTGACCATTATAACAAACTGTGCCTTTTCAGAAAATGTTCAAAAAGTTGCTGACCATAAATGACATCGATTTACTTTCCTTTTTCTAATACCAAGTGAATGATCACTAATAAAGCCAGACTGTTCTGTCTGCTGCTGTCTGGCACACAGGAACAGCTTAACCCTGCAGGCCAGACTGCTGGACTCTTGAACTCACTCAACCATTGACACTTTACATTTATATAATTTGACTTACCGTTTTACAATAGTTTACACCTCTCTGTGTGTACATACATTAAGCACATATTACATATACATGTACTACTATACCTGTTAACTTTTAGTTTTTTCATTTACAATTACTTTTATTTATTTGTTTATAAGCTATGTTGTACCTTTTTTTTAACTTAATGATTTAATGTATTAGAGTATTATGTTATTTCAGTGGTTTTTAATACATATTAATTTTTTGCATAGTTGGTGGGACCCTTAGATATTCACAGCCAACAAGTAGTTATTGTACATATGATAATAAAACACTTGAACTCAAAGACAAAACAATTATGTCAGACAGCACAATGACAACTGATAAAGTGTACCTCTGTTTTGATATGTATGTGTACCACTGATGTCAAGGTTTTTGTGCATGATATTTATATAGGTTTTTGAATAAATAAGATTTTTTTTTAAATCTACCTTTGTTATCAGAGTCTTTCTTCAGGCAGAAGGCCAGGGCAGCAGCGGACAGCACCCCGGCAGAGGCCACCCCTGCTCGGCCGGCTCCCCCTCCTGTCCCCCGGCCCTCTCCTCCGCCGCTCTCCTCCCAGTAGTGGTTGTTGTTGCGTCCCCTGCCGGCCAGAGACGCCCATGAGTTGCGGCGGTTCTCAAGGTTGGACAGCCATCTTGGGGCGAGATGGTGGTACTGCACCACCGGGTTCACACTGGAACCAGCGGTGTCCTCGTCTAAAATCCCCCTCCTGGAGACCCGGGAGGTAGACACGATGGGGTTGCGGTTGTTCTCTGTCGGTTTCTCCCGGGTGCCCTGCCGCGCAGCACCGCTCGCGCTGGTCTGGAGGACGCGGCTGCACGGTGACAGGCTGCGCGACCTTCGAGCAATGAGCCTGGTGGGAACCGATGATAACATGGCGAGGAACTGACCGAAAACGACCCGGGGGATGAAACCCTCAGTCTGGCTGTAATGTCAGGGGTAGTCGGGGCCGGGGACACCTCGTTAATCCGATGTAACAGCCGTTAAAACCTCGATTTCTAGGCAGCTACTTTCAATCATGGAGACGAAAACAACCGTTCACCTCATTGTAGCGTGGATGTCACCAGAACGCGCGGTGCATTTTGGGAAATGGTGTTTCACTGGAAGCTTCGGTGTCAGGTCATGTGTTTACCGCAAGAGGTGTTTGTGTTGCATAATTCCATGTTCATTTAAGTCTAGTTAAACTGTTGTGAGACCCACAAGACAGATTTAGAAAAGCACACAACCCCATTTAACACATTAATCCTTAAGAAAAATGCTGGCATAACAAGCTTAGAGTTTATAGTTTCCAGTGTTGCCAAGTTCCATTACTTTAGAAGTCCCATATCTATAGCTAGCTACCCTCTTGATTTACAAATGTTACAGGATAGCTTTTCTGTATTTGTTTGTAATCATAGGCCTACCACCAAAAACAGCTATGTTACAGAGTTTTCCTAAAAGGAGAAGATGCCAATGTGCATTATTTTCACTTTGTATTTATGGTGAGATGTCCACCATCAGAGGTTCTGATACTTTAGCATTTCATTGTATACAAGAGGCCCTTAGAATAACAGAACACTGACTTTTAATGGCACAGGCAGTCGTTTTGTCAGGGCAGGCTTCTTGTCCCTCAACTTCTCATGGCCACCAGATGGCATCAAAGCACAGTTCTGAGTTCACAGGCCATTGCAGACAGTGTCATCTATTCATAACAATGTCTTTAGTTTTGGCCTTAATGATGATAGTCGCACGAACAATTAAGTTATTCTCATCAGCAAAAGGACAACACAATTATATACTCTAGCCTCAAACTCTTAACCACTGATAAATTAAAGTTGTGAGTGTAGTCATTTTAACACTATTCTCTAATTACTGAAAATGTGTTTTAGTATTCTTGAAATACAATCCAAGCCAAGCCATTTTGACATATACAAGAATGGGCAAAATCTACTAGAAGGTTAAGTTATGTGCTGGCAATAGGCTAACTGTGGCTCACCAGACATGAATCATAGAGGGTTTCAGGCTCTGCCATCATAAATCCACTGGCACCTTTACCGGCAATGCCATCTAAATGTCAGTGTGGCTTGGCTTTTGTATACACCTGACAACACATCCATTCTCTCCAACAAATAAAGAACCATTAGAGCATTCTTGTTTTTTATGTTCCTAAAATAATCAGATTCACTGACATTTTACTTAGCAAACATTTCGACACAGGTGGAAAAAACACTGTCAACCAAGGCTCTGTTTTAAGATGTAATGCAATTTAATGTATATCAAATAGCTATGTAATTGATTATGATGGTGTTTGACTGCAGAATGTCTGCTGTGAAAATGATTTATTTAACTTAGGTTTCACTCCACATTTTTCCAACATTGGTCACGTATGGCCGTCCTGCAACGCCCCCCGGTTATGGAACCACCGTTCTCGACATACTGGATAATAGTTTAATATGTATTGTATAAATTGATAGTATTGTATTGATAAAGATCATATGATAAGTTACCATCCTGGTGAGAAATGTACCTTCTCACTTCTCTGTCTCATGAGGTCAAAGGTCAGGGTCAGAATGGAAAACTTCAACCCTTTTATTCAAAAGACAGTTTCAAAAGTAAAAAACATTTATTGCTTCTGAGCAAAGCAAGACATTTAAGTGTCATTTTAAGAACGAAAAATGTAAGGTGCATTTCAGATTATTATGGTTTGAAGATGTTGAGCACACCCACAGATCAAATTGAATGTAAGAAACTGATAATGGGCTTACACACTCCAAGATTAAAGGAGTGAGAGCGATGTAATAGAACAATTACACGACAGACTGAGTGATAGTAATTGGATACAAGCAAACAGAGTGAGGGAATATACACACACACACACACACACACACACACACACACACACACACACACACACACACACACACACACACACACACACACACACACACAGTTCAACTGCAGTTATAAGCATAAGGAAGCATAATATAGAGAAAAATCAATTATTATTTATATAGACCAATATAAAATAGCCGCTGGTCCAGAGGACAGGTGAAGGCCGAAGAGACTTCACACGTCAGCCAACAGGAGCCAGGCGCGCCCCCGCGGCTCTGTAAACTAACTAGTTTGCAAAAAGGTGCACGTGTATGATGTGATAGCGCGGGTTGCGTTCAAAAGCTATCGGGAATATGAAAACAAAAAGGCGTAGCTTGACTGTTTGAGCTGTAAGAAAGATATGCAGATTACTATTATTGATGCTAGATAAAGAGATGCTTGAAAATATATTTGAATGTGTTTAAGTAAAAACCTAGGCCCCTTCTCACTCCATGGCTTACCTCCAGGGTTAAGGGTTGGGCAACATCTGAGGCAGTTTGATGTATTTACAATGGAGATCTGTTTCCAGTGCTACATATTGGCTGGTTTAATCTTTGCTCCAGCTCTAATGTAAGATCTACTGCAATTAATACAGAAAGGACATAGTTGGAAAACTATGTATCATTATTTGGCGTAATAATGTATATCAAATTGTGTTTTCCCATAACAAAATACTTCTAACAGTGTTAGCATTAGCTAGGTTCCCAACATGTTAGTTGTCAACAGTGGGCTACTGTAACTCTAATTAAAACGAATACAATGTATTTATGGCAGTTTTACGGGGAGCACCTGAAGGCAGCACAGGGAGGCGTTTCCATTGTAGCAGCCTCTGCGTCGCCTGCCTGTTCAGCCTGGTTCCTCCACCTCTCCCCCCCTCCGTCTCCCCCCTCTTCCTCTTATTTCTCACCGCATCTCCTCCACCACCTGCCACAGCAGCGACGCAACGATGGAGAGCCACTGCAAATGATCCCAAGCCCAAGAAATACTGCAACTGAGAGAGGGGAAAATAAAGGCACCGGTAGGGGAAGACGTATGAAGAGGGGGACACAGAAAGAAGGAGAGAAAAACGGTGAGAGACAAGCGGAAACAGAAACATATGGTTTGTCCCAAGAGTGGCTGTTTCTGAAGACCTCGCTACAACTTATTTAACCACCGTCATCAATTAAAAAACCCACATTTGATTCATCCGATACACGACTTATGTGCATTATGTTTTGAGTGCTCTCACCTGTGTGAGTCTTTGCTTATAACCCCCCTGTTTGATTAGTTTGTGCAGGGTGGATTGCGGTTGTTGTACCTCCCTCAATGCGCACACACACACACGCACGCTGATCATCACAAGACGCGGTGCAGCCTACAACAGCTTCTAGCTTGAAAGGAGGAAATTGAATTAGACAAGTTATTCCCACAGAAGAAGTAAGTGGCTCTCTGCGTTGCCTTCATTTCCCCGGCTCACAGTGTCCCCCCCCCCCCCTCCGGCCCGACCAGGAGTCTCACTAACCCTCTCTTCTCCCTTCTCCCACCTCCCCCCCGGTAACTAGCCATGTCTGGACAGACTGTGACCATACCGGATGACCGAGCGTTTGCCAGCTTCAAGGCGGAGTGTCTGTGCGAGGAAGGCTGGAGTATCAACCACAACAAGGGGGGCATCACGGTGTTCACCCAGGGTCTGGAGGAAGGGAAGTCCATCCACAAAATTAAGGTGAGACACTGTTTAACCTTTTCCCAAGAAGTCCCAAGAATATGTTTAAATTACAAAATATACAATCACTATGCTGTAACTTTATTGTGGAGGTAATATAAACTGTTGTATAATCCTCTTGGCTTGAAGGTGATTTTTCTAAATTCCCATATGATTCAAACTGCTGACATACTCTAACTGCTGCTTTTTGCTGCATGCAGAGGATTCTCCTATCCACTAACCTTCATTGCATTTCAAATACATTTATTTAGAAAACACATAGTACTTTGTTGTCCCTGTGTAAGCAAACAAACAAAAAGGGTTAATAGTTAGGACATTATGCCAACAGTGCAAATGTAAAGCATCCAATGTGTAACTTTCTTAGTATCACAGTTTAGTGCACACATCCTGAGTTAGATTAAATTATCTATTTATAAATGTGTGCAATGGTAGGAGTGTGAATAGATGCCTAATGCACACTTTCAAAATCCCAGGTATCACAGAGAAGTGAGAGCCTCAGGAGTCAGGTTTAATGCTCCAGAGAGACACCATTACGCGCAGCCAGTGAAACTATTTTCAAGTCTCTACCCAACAGCATATTGTGGAGTGGAAGGTGTAATATGTCGGCTCACTTTGTTCACTTCTGTGTAGCCAGTTTTGTATACAGTTTGTAATTAATTTCACACAGCACAGGGAAGTGAACATAAGCTGAAATAGTACAATAGACCATTCCTGATAGCCAAAACACATAAAATAAATCAATGAAGTCAGTTATGAATTGCATTTTTATTATGTGGTTACAGCTCTTTAAATTTGACATTTACTGCGTTTCTCAATTCTACATTGAGTCAATTTTGGTTAAATTACAAAATATCCAGGTTAAAGACCTTTCTTTGGACTTTGATAACTTGTGTTGGTTATTGGTCCGTTTTTCTCTTGTATTAACTAAATGATAAACTAGCTCTAGTCAGGCTACAGTAAGACATTAATACATTCACAAGGTTCAGTACAGTAGGTGGGAAAAAAGTGGTTCCTGATCATTGTTTAGGTAAGGTCAATCATGTGATGATGGAGGCACATGATAAGAAACATTGCTATCCAGTGAAATAGCAGTCTTGGCAGTTTGTCTGTTTATTTTGGGAGACAATATGAAGGAGTCATTACAACGGCAGTGTCACTTTAATCTATCGAAACCTAACCGCTGCGTACCATCAATACACACTTCAGTCATTAATAAAGTTTTGTTATTGTGCCAGGACAAAGACCCATAGTAAAAAAAACGATTTCAGCACACACAAAAATACACAAATATATAGCAATACATACTTAATGAAGTAGTTTCCACACATATGAAGATACAAAGGGACATTTTAATAAAGACATTGTGTAAGCCATGATAATTGTTGTCTGAAGTTGCCTCTTAGTATACATAACTTTTTACAGTACATTCATCCATTTAGGGTTATAAATAAATGTTTGTAAAAATGGTATAAGATTTTCATCCAATGTTGACAATGTGAACTTTTTGTGCATCTAACAACCAAATCTATTAGCCAGTGAGATCTACAGGCCCCCAGGAATTGTATTAAATATGTCAATTAACAAAAAATATGATGGTTTGTAATCATGTTGTACTTGCAGACTTTGCCGGTAACCTGATTGAAGGGCAATTTAGTGCTCAACTGGCTCTAAAGGTCCTGAAGTGTTGTCACTTTCACTTTAAGACTGATTGTCCTTCACAGCTGACAGTTTTTGGGAAGTTGCCTTCACGTTTCTAACCTTCACAGTCATTTCTAAACTGACAAACAGTTATAATCTGATATCCGTCATTTACTCGATGGAAACGAAACACATTGTCCTGTGTAAATGTGTGTGCTTTCCTGCTGGTGCATCCTGGTCTGATGTAGGTGTGCAAGCCACCAGCTGTTTACTTTGTTAAATAAATTAGTGTGTGTGCATGCATGGGTGTGTGTCTGTGTACGTAAGGGTGTGCAGGTGCCAAAACTGACAAGGGATTTTCCAAGCCCCCCCTCCAACTACACTGTCTTTGTACCTGTAAGGAAGGATGTGTGTGTGTGTGTGTGTGTGTGTGTGTGTGTGTGTGTGTGTGTGTGTGTGTGTGTGTGTGTGTGTGTGTGTGTGTGTGTGTGTGTGTGTGTGTGTGTGTGTGTGTGTGTGTGTGTGTGTGTGTGTGTGTGTAAGAGTAGGTGCACCAGCAGTGCCACAGATACAGCTATTCTATTTCTAGAAGAAATAAAAGCATGCATCTTTGCTGATGCGTGTCGAATGATTAATGTGTACGGAGACTTTTCCTCCATTCCTGTTCCCTCTTCACTATAGCATCAATATCAATAAGGAAAAAGTGATACATCCCAATCCGAGAGTGAGAGAGAACACACTGGCAATCATCATTATCATTAGCGGACTAATTATCATCAGCCACATCGTTTTCGTCGTAATGATTGCCACCGCCATATTCAGGACTTTTGTATCAGTGTGTAATCACAGCTGTAACTGTCATCATCAACAACATCATATCATTTGTCAGCACATGACTTCTCACCACAATGCTCAATGTGTGGGTGTGTATTAGCGTATATTTGTTTTTTAGTTTGACAAACTGTCGAGCACATACCTGGGTTTGCTTCCTCCCCCACACAGGGGAAGCCCAGCTGTGAATTACACATACACTCCTCCATTTTCTCATTTTTTTGTTTCATAATTGTCTTCCGCCATCATGTATTGGCACCAATGGGAGCAACGATGAGAGTTGACAGGTTGGAGGGAGCCAGGGAGGAAGGGAAGAAAGAGAGTGTCAGGGAGACACAAGTTAGTAAGACAGGGAATATTAGAAGGAACAGGTAGTGGGTGGCGTGGGTCGGATGGCAGGGGTCAGAGGTCATTTGGTGCAATATGAGTGGGCAGTGTGGACTCGGACCATACAGGAACAAAGCCTCACCAGACCACTAATTGGTTGTGTACCTACTTTTCTTCGTTTTTCTCTCACGGTGTCTCTGCTTTATCTCTGAACTCCCTCTCACCCGCCTCTCTGTTTCTCCATCTCCCTGCTTCATCTGTTGGCTTCACTGAATTAGTGCCTAATAGAATTATGCACACATGTACTTTCCTGGCGCATGTCTTCTCTCTGCACTGTTCGCCTTCTGCTATCTAGAGTTCTCTTCTGTTGCCTTTTCTTTTGGTTCGCCTTTCTCCTCCTACTCCTGTTTCAGTTTGCCTTTGGATACATCACATCCATTATTCTCCCTGCTCTTTGTGACCTACAAGTCCGAGCCAATCTGTTTACACACAAACACGCACACACACGGATATCAAATATTAGACCTTACTGATAGTGTTGCACTGTCATTGTTGCCCTCCGTACATATAACAAACACACATTTTTTGTGGTTTACTTTCCTCTAAGGTACACCAACATGCATGTTTCTTTTCATTTAATGTCAACTTTATCCCTTGATACTGTGTGTACTGGTACGTGTTTTTGTAGTACATGTAAATGAATCAGAAATGAGCTTGTAATTATGTAGACTATTAAACAAAATGTTTCCATCACTGCTATCAGGAGGAATCATCATGCAATCTCTTTTATAGGCTTGCTTTTCCTGTAATGCCATTCTGCAGCTGTTTCTTGAATAGACTGGCATTGAATTAGTTGAGGGTCAGTATCAGATCACTTTACGATCACTAACCACATTGAAACGATTAGCTTGTCTTTGCAATTGGACAAACTTTTTTTATTTCCTGGCCTTTTGCATTATATTTTACTTGCATCATAGTTCTTTCAGAATAGAACTCTGTTACAAAAGTGTCTGGCATTCAAAATGAAGCGTAGAAGTATTAAAAGAAAAATAAGCTTAATGTAAAAAAAGTCACTCAGTGGTTAATGTTTTAATAAGCTCATAATGTTTATTTTTTTTAACGTGTCAGAAAAAAGCATGGATGTAGACATTTGGTAACTCTTTTTACTTTTTATGTACGACATCATTCTTAGTGTGTGATAAGTAACGGTATTGCAGATTCAAATTTGAATAAGCAATTCGGATATCATTTTTTTTTTTAAAGTTCATTTTTAGAGAGCTGTACAGCTAAATGAAGAGTACATGTTTTGATCATTTTCTTAAATGAAGCCTTTGGGATCAAGGGAGATACATTGAGTTCCAACCCTTCTGTACTGATATATTATTGGAGTCCAAATCATCAGACCTCCAACCGCGGTTAATTTCTTTTTCATTGACTATTCTTCTCACTTGCTCAAAGTGTCTCGTTGTGTCTCCCCTCCTCCATTGCTCTGTCCTCTGTTTGTTATTTTAAGACTAGTTCCCCCTGGTAATTGTAACTGTAGTAACAGCTTTGCCCAAGAGCTGCAGACCTGTCTCTACACAGGGTGTATGTACAGTGCCATCTACTCCAAAGACAACATGAGGAGAGTCCCTATGGTGTCATTAATAAGCTGTGATACACTACACCATACCTGTTCCACATCAACACCTACGGATGTATAAATAATGTATTTCTCTTAGATTTTCTTATACGCCCTATAATTTATTTAAAGTTTATTTCATGTAGTTTCTAGGATGAGTATGGCCTTTTGAAATCCGACCCCCTGCCACCGTTTGAAAACTGTACGTCTTTCTGTCTCTTTGTTCTTTACTGATAGTGTTGTTTTCCATTATAGAGCTCAGGTCCAGTAATGACTCATCTGCGGTCTGTCTCTTGATTCTCTCCTAATATTCTCTCTCTCTTTCTCTTTCTCTTTCTCACACACAGAAGCACACGTACTGTCTATTTCTGACACTTTCACGCCATCTCTCATCATTAACACGTCAGTTTACAATTTACTATCAATTTATCGGATGCAACTTCATTCAAATCTAATGGATTTTCTTGCTCCATAGTTTGCATTGGATAGAGCTCTGAAATGTTCTGCGTGATAAGTGCAATCGCATGAATAACGTATACATCTGCTTTGGTCTGTAATTCAGTTATTTAAAAAAAATGAAAATGAAAACGGTCTGTCTTTCTCCCTTTCCCAGTGTCGGATGGTGTGTAAGGACGTGTCGGCTGAGACCATGTACGACGTTCTCCATGATATTGAATACAGGAGAAAATGGGACACAAACGTCATTGAAACCTTCGACATCGGGAAGCTTACGGTCAATGCGGATGTTGGATACTACTCATGTATGTTAAACACTCGAGTGCTGATTAAAGAAAGCATTCACTTGTTAGTAATATGATTTGGGGCTTTGAAGGGAAGCAGGGTGAAACACAAAGTGCACATAGATAAACGGTTCACTGTTCACTGTTGAGGTCATCAGAGTTCTCCTGTGTGTCAACAGGGAAGTGTCCGAGTCCTCTTCGGAACCGGGACGTCATCACGCTTCGTTCCTGGCTTCCAATGGGGAAAGATTACATCATCATGAACTACTCTGTCAAACATCCTGTGAGTCAAAACCAACACACACACTTAGATTTGCTCAGCTGGGGCCCTGCTCATTCGGTCCCATATAACTCTCTGTGTTCAAAGGTGCATTGTGAAATGAGCGTACATCAGGTGAGCCAACATGATCCAGTTTAGCAAGCTCAGGGCGATGTGCTGTATGCAAATAAACCCTTCAATATTTGTTCAAAGGCAGCATTGCTAAGCTGTGTGCGTCACTCAATTTAAAATACCTACTGCATCCACAAAGAGAAGAGAGTTTGGCACCTTTCCAAAGAGAGAGCACCCCTATGCCTCCTGCTGGAAGCTTTAACCTGGCTGGGAGCAAGATGGGTGCACTGTCTGTTTACACTTCTTCACTTTAAGTATAGGTGGTTAATGTGATGCAGTTGAATGCATTGTGTTTAGAGTTCAGCTTCTAGTGGTGCTTTCTAAGAACCTGAATGATTTGTATGTCAAAGGTCAGTAAAACAAAGGCTGATTAGAGAACGCTGAGACCATGTGAATGACGTCAAGTTTGGAATCAGGCCTGAGTCCTCAGACTTTACTTTGGCTCTATTTCTGTGTTCAATAGGAACAAGGCGACAATAATTAATTTTCTGTAAAACCTTGCACTCATCACCTCTCTCTTAGGCAACTAAAAACTGTTATTTTCCATTAACCTTCAAACCATTGTCTCGTTTTTAAACAGCTTGATTTGTCTGCCTAAAACCAAAAGATATTCTGTTTTCATCTGAATTACAAAAAGGAAACCTTCAACCAGATAATATTTAGCTACTTATTTGATTAACATATTATCAATAGTTTCAATTTTCTTTAGTTGTAATTCTCACCATTTATGTTGCTGTCTTTTTCTCGTTTTATTTTTTTTATTTTCTGTCTCTCCCTCCCTCTCTTTTCCCTCTCGGTAACGGCTTCTATGTCTCACTCACTAATATGATGTTTACAATAGGATAAGACCTCTCATGTGACTCCTAGCTGTTGACTTCCACCTCCCCTTCCGCATTCCTGCATCAATAAGTGGCTACCGACATAATAGATGTTATGTGTGTGTGTGTGTGTGTGTGTATATGTGTGTGTATATGTGTGTGTGTTTGTGTTTCACGTGTGTGTGTGTGTGCATGACTGTGTTTGATTAGCCAAGGTCAGTAGAATTTGAGAGCTTGGCTTGCTGAGTGCAGCTAAAGGGGATCCTTCGAGCTGAGATCACACACCCACTACCAGGATTCACTCCACTTATCCTGCGTTTGACACTACACTCAACCACACTCTTTCCCGTGATAAATAACAACTTGTTTTCAGTCGGCTTTCAGCTATAAGCCGTTGAGATCCAGCTATCACTGTCCTGAATGAACTGTGTTAGTCTGACTTGTTCTGGCCAGTGAGGCCTATATGTATATCAGGGATACAGCTAATGACTTATTCATCATGTAATCTATTAAGGCCTCTTTTAGCCACTATGGCAGCCTGGCTGCAGGCATGGAAGAGCTATTATTGGATGGATAAAAAATGCTTATGGTGATACCTTTTTGTTTTTTACAAATACTGTAGCTGCAATACTAATAGCATTCCCCATCAGCCGCAGCTATAATTTATGTTTAATGCTGATTAGCAAATACTGGTATGCCAGTGGTAAAGTCAAATTTGTGTTATGAGTATTTTATTTTCATCTGACTTCATACTTCTACTACACTATATTTCAGAGATTAATATTTAATTATTTGTCCTCTACTACATTTATTTGACAGCTTAAGTTACAAACTAAAAAGAGTTAATGAAATACAATTGTTTGTTATGAATGAAACCACCAAACCATTTATAGGCCTAAGTAAAAACAGTAATGATAAGCCGATAAAGTGATTAGTATTTGACAGAACTATTTAGACTTTTCAGTCATTTTTTATGTTAAAAAATATGATTCCAGCTATTCAATTTAAGGTTTTTCTGCAACTAAAATGTAAGGTATATTTTCCAGATTTTACTTACATACTTTCATTCGTAACATTTGACCTGTAACAGAGTTTTTTTAAGTTACTATTTTTACTTGGCTTCCTCAACCACTGCACAAAGCAACACGTTACATTAAGCACAGCCAACAGAAGCTGGCATGACTATAGACTCTGTTGATTATTCTTTAAATATATAAAAAAGGTTGTGGACTTTTGTCTGACCATCAGTCGATATACCCAAAGCTAAGTAAATATACTTTCGATGCACCAAATAACTGATTATCAGGTCAGATATGGAGTTTCCTGGTTGGGCGAGAGTGTCAAAAAAAAAGAAAAAAAGACACTATCGCTGGAGTTCCTCTGTTAATGGTGACTAACGCTTAAAATCCTCTGATCTCTTCTTAAACATTACCTCAGGACCTTATAATGCTGTCCCTGAATTCCAAGAAACCTGCAGGTGTAATGTTTAACAACAGCTGTCCTTGCACTGACAGCATCAATTCTTACAGAGGTGCAGGCAATTTGAAGTCGAATAGTAGAGAAAATGGTGAAGCAATCATAATATGAAGCTCTCCTCTGATAAAGGTTCTTTACATTTAATTAGCCGACTGCTGCTCTCTGTGCCGCAGTGTGCCTGTCCCAATTAGCAAAGGCTAACCAGTGCTGTACTTTATCATCATGAATAATAATCTTAGATATGTAGTCAAAGGAGCCAGCAGTGGGCATTAACTGCTGTGATATTCACAGTGTGGACTGACTATGCACCAGAAAGATGACTGAAGCAGAACATCTGTATGACTGGCAGCAGAAACCCAAAAACAACCCAGAATCCCAAAGCTTAGCATGCACAACGTCGTCCATTTGACTGATGCACACAAAGGGCTTAATACAGTTTTTAAAGTAGTGATTTCTGAATCTGCCCTGCTTTTGTGCACGTGGGTGTCATTTATATACTGCAGTATGGAAATCTGAAGCCACCAATTTAAAATAATAATGAGTGTAGTAGGCTGCTTTTCCTGTTCAAGGTTAGTACTATCACTGAATAGGGATTTTATTTGTGTATGTGTGTTTTCTCTACAGAAATACCCTTCTAAAAAAGACAAGGTGCGAGCTGTGTCCATTCAGACTGGTTACGTGATCCAGAGCCAGGGACCGGCCAACAGCTGTACCCTCACCTACATGGCTCAGGTAGATCCAAGGGGTAAGTGTACACACACACACACACACACACACACACACACACACACAGGCTATTCACAGCTTCTGTACAACGACAGCCTCGTGGAAAAATAGAAGTACAAAACCAAGAATCCACACCCACACACAAACACACACACACACACACACACAGGTGCGTAAACCTCATAGTTCTAATGAATGATTAAGTCCCCAGCGTTTATGTCAAATGAGTCGCCATAGGAACCATATGAAGGACAGAGTCTATTTCACTCCGCCGCCTCGCTCTCTACCTTCTCTCCTTTTCGCCTATTCATTTGATTCTCCCTTTAATTGACTTTTTTGCTGTCACACACTTGTTAATTGTGTAAATGCCTTTATTCAGGGTTTTGTAATGTGTGTGGTAGTGAGTAGCAAGAGACTAAGCTCCACTTTGATCTTTGAGGACATGACATGCATTAAAGCTAACTTTAAATCCCTCTTTTATGTCTTTTCCAACTTCCTCTTCCTCTTTCTCACTCCCTGATCTTTCTGTCATTTCTCTCCTTCTTCCTCTGTTGACTCTGTTTCCTTGCAGGTTCGTTACCCAAGTGGGTTGTCAACAAGTCCTCCCACTTCCTTGCTCCTCGGGTAAGTCATTTGCAGATTAACAGACATTCTGTGAGTGTGTTGTGTGTTGTGTGTTTGGAGACCTTTTTAATCCACCGGCACTAATACATCCAATTTATAATCTCTCCTACACATTCCAGAAACACACTAGTATTTCTCAGCATTTATTTGTTATTTGCTCTTTGTCTGTTCAAGGGTGCGTGTGTACTTGTTGCAACAGGGCAAATATTCTCTTGATCTCGATGGAAAATATAGTTGTTTTAAAAAGATGCACAAATCCCAGTGAAAATAAAATATTGATATGCCACATAGTACATACTAAAACATTTAGCATTAAACATGTTACAATCGTATTTATATTTTTAATTCAGCCATTCAATATTTGCAGTGCATTTAAGTTCAATCATTACCTTACTGCTTGCTGTGGTTGTGAATGATGAAATCTGATCTATAAAACATAAACGGATATGTGTTTTTTTCTATGTTGTCTATTTATTATCCTTTTAGGCAATGAAGAAGATCAACAAAGCCTGTTTGAAGTATACAGAGTGGAAGCAGAGACACAACCCTGGCTTCAAGCCCTGGCTCTACCCCGAACAGACTACATTACCCAGCATCCCTCTGTCTGAGCTCAGCATCCAGCGCGCTGAGAGCCTGGAGAATATTGATGAGAGCTCCCTGGCTGAGACCCAGGAGAGAGAAGACAGCGACTAACACACACTCACACACACACAGTCATGGATTCATACACACACAAACACAGTAATGCAGGGTTACATGCATGCCTGATAGACATCCATGATTCAACTGATATATATGTGTTTTTATAGTATGCATGCACATGCAATTGCATATGCAGGCATACTTACTGGCACGTGTACTTAAGCATGCATGCACACAGACATACTTCTTCCCATTTCATACTTGCATACATAATGTACCAACACATACATGCAACATAGATACATTCACAGAAATAGACCCACCACTCACAAGCAGCAGCAAAAACTACTACATTTTAAAGTCGGTAAACTCAGATGTATTGTAATCACTAAAGTTGCTGTGTTTTTTCATGCTCCTTGAAGGGATATCATATTTTTCTGATTAGGACCTATATAGATAATCATAGCAAAAATATATTTTCAGTAAGATTTAGTGTTGAAAAGTTTACAGACTAACCTGACAGTGGAAATCCAGCTCTTAATCAAAATATAAACAATGGATTTCAAAGTTATACTTCTTCGTCTGGAAGTTATGGATACAATCTATTTAATGGGAAAGCATCTCAGTGCAACCTCATAATGATCTTGTATACATACACATATGGTTGCATGCCATTCATTGATACTTCTTTTATGCACCCAGCTGTGCATACACACACACATTCTACCCATGTTGTCTCATTATGTGTCTCCATCACATTTTGTAAGCACATAACAAATATGCAGGTGTGCAGAAGGCAGCTGGAACACACAACATACACACACAAACACATATTCAGATATTACACACGTACTGTCCACTACTCTAATTGAGAGATGTATGAATGTATTGAGAGTTTAAAAAAAATAAATAGAGATTCCTACAAAGGGTTTGAAGTGTCAATTGTGATCCGAGTCTTTTTTTCCTCTATATGCTAGGCTTTATGTCTGATGATGCAGGTTTAAATGTTTGTGCTAAAATAACTATTGGCTGATTGAAATGTCAACACTTTCTTTCTGTAACACACACACACACACACACACACACACACACACACACACACACACACACACACACACACACACACACACACACACACACACACACACCTATACACAAAACCATTGATTTGAAACGTGCCCTGCCATGATTAGAACAGGGAAACACCATGACACCTATTTTTTTTTAACCGTTATTCCCTAATGGTAAAGTGTGCATTGTGTTTGTTTGCTTGCCTGCAATTGCATGTGTATAGCGTAGCATGCTTGTGCTCATTGGTCTAGTTCAGAATAAGGAATCCCCCAATCTGTTGTCATGGCAACTCTGAGATCGACTCAGCACTGAAAAGGAGAGAAATTTGTCTGCCACACAGAGGAAGTGACTTATTGCAGGGTGTCCACCCCTTCTTCAATGTAGAATGAAAATAAGAGCATGCATATTGTTAATGCATCCACATGTACGCCAGCTGTTTCCCTGTGGTTTGTCAATTTGGTGACATGAAAGCTTGTCTTTCCTCACACAAAAACTCCCATGCCTTCATTGTATGGTTTAAGAACATAAGCATATTGGACGAACATTAGAAAAATAAATATTTGAAGGTCCATGAAGCTATCTCTGCCTGTGAGTGCCTCAGAAACAGGAACGTAGCAATGTTAACGTCATGCCTTAACATCAATTTTTCGCATGTCATCTTCTCTGACAGTTCCCTTTTATGACATCCGCCTCTGCATATGCTCCACCTAATAAATTATGAATGATGGAAGAAAGAATGTGTGAGTGTTGCAGAAAGGCAGGAGGTGCATGCAGCTCAGCTCTTTTTTCCTACAGCTGCATCGACTATTTTCCAGCTCTGCCCATGTTTAAAACCCTCCAATCCGTCCTCAGAGTGCTAATGAGGACTCTCCCTGAACCATCCTCATTTTGTGCATGTGTGTGTCAGAGGAAAAGAGTGTGTGAACGGTATGTCCCAGTGGCTTCCCTGCATTGTCTCCCAGCCGCCTCCACAGCAGGAGGAGACGTATGCGCAGCACGAAGGCAGGCATCCCTCTGTGTGTGTTTCTGCATATGTGTCACACTGCCACCCCCACAGAAACCCGGCCCACAGGGCTGAAAGTCTTCCGATGACTCATCACAACCCCACCTCCTCTTCTCCGTTCCAGCTCCCTCCGCTTCTTAGATTCTCGCCCCTGCCCTGATCCTCAATTTCCCCACGCCTCTTTTTATTTTCCTCTTCCTGTCTCTTCATCCTCTTGTCAATCCTTTCATCTACTCCTCATCCAGGGCTCTCTTCTCCTTTGATCCTCTCTGCTACAGTTCTTTCCTATCCTCATGTCACCCCCATATTTTCTGTTCTGATCCCTCTCGCTTCTCTCATCCTTTCACCTTTTTTTTAATCTAAAACATGTGTCCTATCCTGTCTCTTTATTTATTCCTCATTTTGCTTTCCTTTTCTCTTTTTTACTCCATTTTTAACTTTAACTCCCTGTTATCTCCCTTTCCCTTTTCACCTTTTTGTCATCCCATTCCATCCGTCACCTTTCATCTCCTCTCCTTCTTCCTTTTTCAATCTCCTTTACACACTCTAATCTTACCGACACAGTTCCCTAATATTTCCGTCAGAAATTAATTGAATAACACGTTGCTGTCTTGTCACAGAGTCAGTGTGTTGTTCATCCAGCCTCCACAATGCTTGAATATTACCCTTGTATTAGTGTTGTGACCTTTTTATTCATGGTGCACTAAACTTAACGAATGATAACACAAAGAATCACATAATGTGACACAAACAGAAACACAAAGGTAAAATACTAGGCATGTTTCCCCTTCAACTTTCCAAAAACATGTTAGGCTGTGACAAATGTGGCCTTTTAAATTCATGTAAACTCAGGGGTAGGATATGTTTAATTCACATACTGTATGGTTGGATCCTGTTAGACTCAGATGGGACTGTTACAGGTCAAAATGTAGTGTAGTTTATGTCTTTTATTAAATGCCAGCCTCTCTCGCTCTCAGTTGCTTTCATCTTGCTGAATCTCTTTACTGGTGCTGAAATGCAATCAAAAGAACCCTCTTCAATAATGTAACAATCATTTACATGCAGTATTCTCTTTCTACTATAAAGGCTGGTCGTCCTTTATTATGATGTGCTTTATTTAAATTTGTAACATGATGCCTTTTGAAATTCTCTCTCCATCTATAAGGCTCTAAATCTCAGTGGTGAGTGGTTGCCCTCTTCTGGTTCCAACTGGAGCTTACACCAGCAGCCGGTCGGAAGCGTGTCTGATTCAATACTTGATATGAATGCCACATCACTGCAACCTCTGCACAAACATCTGTTTAGAGTTAAATCTACTCTTGGACACAGTGCTGTAGATTAAACCAGTTCATATCATCTTCATTGCAGGACAAGATTGGATTATTATATATATTTACACAGTCAAAAACACATTTCTTTTTAAATGTGTGCACATGTAAAAATGTGTCTTTGACTGTGTATATATATACATATATTTGCACACATATTTTTATATTTTATAGACATTTGTTTTTATATTCGGGATTGTGGGAAACAGTATTTCGATCTCTCTGTTTGTACACACAAACTGGAAGATTGACAATAAAGTTGACTTTGACTTTGATTAATTAAATAGACATCGCTTATAGTTTTACTGTTTGTTGTTGTTCTAAGTGGTGGTGAGGTTATTTCAATTATTTTGTCAAATAAAAGTATGTAAATCTGTAGCTGCTTAAATAAAAGCAATTCAATTCACTATATTTTAGGAAATATGTTAACATTTAAACACTATTTCTCAAAGAGGAAAATTAAGAAGACATCCACATCCTGTGGGTCATGTTTATACTGTGTGTGTTTTGTAATTTATTGTGTGTATAAAATAAAAAGTTAATCATTTCATTATTATTTTCTCTGATAATACTTCGATATTTAGCTATACAGGGATTTATACCATTTATTGGGCGAGCTATACTTATTAGTTATGTTTTAGTTTAGGATATTACGGCCATTTCTAACCTTTACAACTCGTATGCACATTTTAAAAAATGTATGGTAAGTCATTACTTTGGAAGAGGTGTTTACTGACCGAAATTTGTAGGGCCAAACATTAGCCTATTACACCTACCCCTTTGTATTGTTTATTTTGTACACTTCTCATTTAATGTATGCACTGATTGATTTTTATTACCCCAAATAATTTTTGGGGTAATACAAATTATCTTGGGTAATTTGTATAACCCAACATAAATACAGTATACACAGTATATACTATGACACATACTGTAAGTGTACAATGTTTTCTATTTCCTTTTCCAAACTTCTTCACAAATAACTCCTTTTACTGGTCCCATCCCTTTTGCATGTTCTAATCCTTGTTTTTGTCAACATACACATACCTCTTACATTAGATGACTGACTCACTTTAATTTAGAACAACAAGCTTGTCATTTTGTTGTTACTTGAAACATTTATTTTGCAGATAAAAGGTCTCCAAATACTGCATTTGCAAGCATGTGAGTTTATAAATTATATGTTTGTTAAGGTGAAGTAAAGTGATTAATAAATAATATCTAGTTAAAGGGCATTTACATGAAAACAGAGTGGGCAGTCCATTCTGTTCTGATGGTCACATGACGGCCATAAGGAAGTTTTGCGATTTTGCTGCTTCCAAATAACCACAGAAACCCGGGAAAAACACCATTCCTATCCTTCAACATAAAACGAAACATGATAGAACGTGGATGTGTGCATTTATTTTGAAATGTAAAACCGGAAACAGTTTTCACATTTTACTTTAGCTTGACACTTGCTGTCTCTGTAAATTGTTGCTGCCACTGCTGCATTTTATCCGCAAGAAAAATCTTATCCGCTATTTTGCGTCGCAGTTGTGTCCGCTAGTTTCCCCTCAAAAAAACGAAACGCCTGTGCATTTCAGGACAGTTGAACACTTGCAAAGACTTGACAAGGTAAGTGAATGACAAGAATTCACAACTTTTATGAAAAAGAGAAACTTTCTCACAACTGCTGATAAAAATAGACGCTAATTTAACAGCATAAACCTCACATGGGCTACACCAGAAATGTGATGTGACACTGACCAAGTATTCAACTTTGTGTGAGTCTACCGTCATCTGCTTTAAACAATTTAACACTTAATCGAGTAATGATTCGCGAGCATGCTTTGGTTAACTTGTTAGATGTTGTTTTTCTCAGCTGCTCTCTTCTTTTTGTGGGAAAAGTGGAGAGGAAATAGCACTGCCTACACTGGGCTGTTTATCCCCAGTGGAATTCATTATTTATAAACTGGGAGCATGGATACATTGACAATTAAATCTCGTGTTTTAACATAAAGATGGAGTAATTTGATGTAATCGTATGCCTTCCTCACATTGTGATTTGTGAATATATTAGCAGGTGGAATTGTGACAGGTGGGGTTAGGGTTATCTGGGATTTTACATTATTTTTCAGGTAGGAACTTTTAACAGTTTAGATTCAACACATTACCGAAACCCTATCTCAAGTTTGTTTTTCAAACACTTATTTCAATCTAAGGCAGGGCTCCTGTATGTGGAGTTTATTCAAGATGATAAGATCAATAGTGAAACTGTTTGAATATGCTTTTTAATAATAAGTGGAAGTGTGAGTTTTTCCTTTTCAGTGATATGTTAATGCAGTTATAGAGGAAGACATTTTGAATGTGGGCTAAATATCTTAGAATAGAGTAGGTTATGCATGACTGGTTTGCCCAGTAGACCCTTTAAATTGTTTTTTACAATAATTAGTACAAAGTTCTCACAGAGCTTCGCGACCACGATAATAATGATCTACCGTGGTTAAACAGAAGTTATTCTGCTGTCCCACAGGCACACAATTTTGCAGTGAAGTTAA